GAACACCGGGTGGGTGCACATCCGTTGGGGAAAGTTTAGCGTATACGCTAGGACCCGCTTGTCCACAACCTTAAATGGTCCATAACCCGTGAACGAAGCTTCATCTGGAAGATAGCAGTGGCTGCATGTGTAGGCAGGTGTTCAAAATTCAATAAATCCAGGTCCCCGACCTTAAAGCTTCTCACTTTGCCTCTTCTTTTTCATTTGCATATTTATCGCATCGCGAACGTGTGCATAGCCATCGCATCGCGAACGTGTCGTAGGACACTCAGTCTGGTAGACAAGAAGTCATCGACTTCTTTACGGATCGAAAGAGGGCTGATATCAGCTAGCCGTTCGGCTGTTCCTCCCCTACCGAGCCCTGAGCCATGGGATAGCGGCGTCAGCGGGACGCTAGGGTGAATCAGCCCGTTCACGTAGAACGGCGTGTAGCCGGTAGACTTCCTTCCATCGTGGAGTGTCGAGCATATTGCCTCGAGCATATTGCCTGACGCCCCGAAATCGTTGAGGATTTTCCATGGCTTCTTGAAGCGCTTTTTGGTCGCTTCCACGACCAGCAAGCCCGGCTTGCATACACGTTCCGTGTTTAAGAGCACGGAGTTTTTCGGGGCTGGGCTTCACTACCCTCTACCTCTTTGAGGCTCAACAGAGTTCAGTTCTTCTCCAATAGGGCGCTTCACGCCTACTGAATGTTCTCGTTTCCCCGCGACAAACCATAAGATGGGTGAGAAGCGGAACGTCTGTGTGATGAACCTTGACGCGACTTGAGCAGGGGACATAGGTAACGGGTGTCTCCACAGACAAAACACCGTCGGGTGATTAAACGCTGCCCGGCAGCTCGGGGCTCTTCCCCCTCTTTCTCATCATAGCTGAGTTCCCAGGGCTCCTGACCCACTCGACGTGCTCTGATGATGTGTATTCCAGCCAAGCCGTGCCGACTCAATGTTGAAATCGACTTTCAGTGCCACATTCACCGCTCTATCAAAAGAAGACCGATGCACACGGAGGACTTCCTTTCATAAAGACGGTCACTGCGACCACCTCGGGGAGAGGTTCGGCTGCCATCTCGGCAATGAGAGCTCTCAACATTTGGACAATGTCCACCAACTTCTTCTTGCCATGTCGACGGCAAGGACACGCAATCTCACGCGATATGCCTGATTATGCGGCAAGAACACTCGCAAAAAGCTGACACTTCAGCTCCTTCCAGGACGTGAACGCACCTTCAACCGAAGCACCGCACGTTAGTGCCTATTCTCGCGCTCGGCCCCTGAGCTTGGAAATAGTCAGCGCCACGCACTGTTGCACTTTCTTGAGCATGGCGGATGCCATTGTCATCTTGACTTATTTTATCCAGAGCAGGATATTCTCTCCATCCTTACCCTCAAAGGTCTTTATGCTCACCATGAGCGGCCTGGATCGGGAAGAGTCATCCGTCGTCGACGTTGACGCAGTCGACACTGACAGCTTCTGCTGTAGAGCATTTTCATAGTTTGAAAGCGCTTCTAGGCGCGCACTTATTGCCTTGGAGCTTGCGAAGCAAGTTGCTGCACGCCTTCAAGGTCAAGCAGGGACATCGGCTTTTTAGAGCCCGTCCTGCATGCCTTGGGGCAAATAGGATAATTGCTTCATCCTCATATTGGATTTGTCGTAACGAATCAGGCGTAGATTGACTACGAGTGCTTCCAATTGCGGCAGTGCTGCCGTAGCCCTTTGCTTTGAGGAAGCTTACTAAGATCATCGAACTTACGATCTATACTAGAACCAGTACGAGTGTAGAGGATCGCAATCCTTTACCTCCAAGAGTACCCATAACGTTAACCTAAGGTAGATGTACTCTTCCGTTCAAAATGGAACTGTATTCATTAGTTTCATTTGCGGCAGAACCGACTATACCTAATTGATATGCATAACTACTGACAGCCCCGCCACGTAGTAGCTTCTTCTTATGGTGTAGCCACACCATTGTTTAATTACACAGACTTGTGTAATCCGCACCTTTGTACGGTCACACCATCTTGTGTGACTCACCCTTTCATATAAGGGTACGTGTAACCCCGTGACAGTATATATCGTGATGAGCATTGAACAGCCCTTGTGGTCGGTTCCGAATCTGGTGCCGTTTATTGAGTAGAACATGATCTCGCTCTCTACTTCTAACCACGCACAACATACGTATCAACACACTGTATTGACTGATGGCGATCTTGAATTTACAAATTTCGTCTCCGTCACTTCGGCACTGCTTGCACGCATTGATTAATACAGGAAGCCATTCGAGCTCCGGTATGCCGGCGTTGTCAGCTAGTAGTTAAGACGCGAGACCACCAAAAACAACGCGCACGTTAATGTCTGGCAATTCTTAGTAGACTGTAAGGGCTACACTTTAGCCATTACATGAAGGTACATCTATGCTTCTTTTGTATACATTGTGAAAATATATGAAGGGGTTACAGTATGGTGTTTCTACATGCATACACACTTTACATCTTACATAAACTTGCATACATTCTGTGCGATGCAGAATACATGGAGAATTGTACTGTCGACCGGACTGACGTATCTTTATCTTTCGAAGTGGGTGGCGTAAGCCAGCCCCTTCTTCTGGATACTTTCCACGAAAAATTTAGTTCAAGCTTTTCTAAGTCAAGCTCCGTAAACCCAAGATCTTTTATAAGTTCAAGCCAAGCTTGATTGTATAAACAAGGTTCATAGAAGCCCAGTTATTAGTATGGCTCGAAGAGCCTGTGGTGTGTTATTGCATGTTACTCTGGTAATTAATAGCTCTTCTTGATCGATTAATTGCAAATTCCCCCGAAGCCCTCAAGTCGTTCATCTTCTCTCCAAGTCGGGATTGTCCTCCTCCCTCAAGGTCAAAAGTCGCTTTCTCGCCGCACAAGCGTGTGTGTCGTGCTAGAGAGACTGTTGAGGACAGCGCCCTCTTCAACCAAATAGCATTTCAAGCAATCTTTTCAACGATACTCGAATTTGGTTTGACGACGCGGATGTTGAGTACGTCGAGCATTCCAGTTCAAGCCATACTCTTGTCCTTGTCCTAGCGACACGCAGGGACTTAAGGAATCACTCGGTCTATCAGTACCGCAAACTGAGGTGCTGACTAATCAGATATTCCCTCATCTGTCTTCGCATGACTTGATGGCACTCGAGCGGATGCAATAAGTCATGGAGAAGCTGCTGTAATCAGGTTACTGCAGTCGTCTTTTTCGGATGATCACGCGGCTGTCAGTTTCATGAGAATGGAGTCTTGGAAGCAGGTCGCAACCTTGAACCTTTGTACAGAACGATGCTTCTGGATTAAATGTGTCTTTGCACTGTGGTGAAGAGAAGAGCCTCTCTAACAACGGTTTGTCGAGTTGGATACAGCAATCACTGCAAGACAACTGCAAGACTCTTTGCAACAAGTGTTGTTTGCATGTCCAACCTTGCCGGTTGTGCGAAGAGGTTGTAATGGGCCAGGTCCCATTACATATATTGTGTAGATCACATAATTTATGTATCCAACATAAACCGTATACCTGTATTTATATATCCCCTTTCAATTCTGCCGTATCAGAACTGAAAGCACTTATCAGGTCGGGGAGGCTACACGCCTATTGGCTATAATAATAAATGTCACTTCACCTTTCCTCCTCTCTACGTAAATCAATGACCCGCTGAAAACGAGCAACACGCGGTGAGGCGTGCTAGTTGACCAAAGCCTTCCTCAGAAAAATGTATATACACATAAAATATGTGATCTACACAATATATGTAATGGGACCTGGTACATTTCATTAACCGTATACCTGTATTTATAAATCCCCTTTCAATTCTGCTGTATCAGAACTGAAAGCACTTATCAGGTCGGGGAGGCTACACGCCTATTGGCTATAAT